CAAGAGGACTTTGTCAATTAAGCTCGGTTTGTCTTGCACTTTATCAACTGCTAAGCTCGGTCCGTCCGACACACAACATGCTTTAAAGCGCAGTCCATCTGGTAAAACCATCAGGACTAGTTTTCAACTAAAAGCCTGGTCCGTTCGGCACCCTGTAAGCCCACTCCTCGAGTGGCACCTTCAAAACTCTACCATCCTAATCAATGGTAGAACTTCATGCGCCCAGATCCTCATACAAACGAGGTACGAAGCCATATCTATAGATTTCAGCTTAGGAAGCGGGCCCCCAACCAAACTGACCGGTCGAAATTTAGGGAAATCTGTCACTCGACCTAGAATCCTCAATAAAAGAGGTTAGAATTGAGCTCCTGTGAACCCCTCCCCAAAATATCATGCAAACAAATGCATGTGACTAAGGGTAGAAATGCACGTGAATGTATGAGTCGCCACCTTGTTTAATTATTTTAGGGTAAACTAGGAAAAACCCTAAGTGACTTGAATGTATAGTGCCACTTTGTTTTAATTAATTTTAGGGTAAACTAGGAGAAACCCTAAGTGACTCCTAAATTTTTAATTAACCTTTAATTACTAGATTAATTAACCCAATGTCTAAGCAGCAATCTTTCGAACCCGAGGATGGATTCCGAGATCTAATGTCATGTTGATGAACTAACCAAAGAAGTGCATGCTTTTGCAAAGGTAAAAAGGTGTAATTGGACCAAATGAAAATGTTTAAGTGATTCGACTTGCCGCTCGGGTTTAATCCCAAACGTGCCCCTACGTACTTTCCGTTTGAATGGAAGATCAAAAGTCAAGAGTTCGGAGTAGGCCCCTCTTTTAGAGGGCTTTGAATGGGTTATGCCTTTATGCATGTTGTGTATGCTTCTTGCAGTTTTTATTTAGGCAATTTTGCCTGATTATTAGTTTTGAATTGTTTTGATTAGGCATTTGTTGCCAAAAATGTTGATTTAAGGCTTTTAGCCAAAAAAGATTGATTAAGTGCAACTTTTTGCCCCAAAAGTTGATAATTTGAAAGGCTTTTATGGCCAAAAATTTTGATTTAAGCGATTTGTCCGCTAAGAGAAAATGATTAATCTAACTTATAGGCAATTTATTTGCCGAAAGTGATCAATTGAATTGCAATGTAGGCAATTTATTGCCAAGAAAAACGTGTTTAGATTAAGGCCTTTTAGCCACAATTATTGATTAATTGGACTTAAGCCGGATTTGTTCGACATAAAAGCGATTTACCATAGCCTATTAATTAACTAGGTATTTTAGAGCCAATTGTTGAATTTAAGGCTTTAAAATACAAGATATATGATTACCGGGCATTTAGGCCTAAATTAATTTAATTGAGGAGTTTATTTGCCTAATGAATTGGACGTTGAATGCCATTTATGCCGTTTGTAAGAATAATTAGAAGTGAGAAGAGAAAAAAGCAATGCATGAAGTGCTATAATTAAATAGCCAGAGTTTAGTTCATTGTAACCTGATTTAATCGTCGACTGCTTCTTAACTCCAGGTTTAAGCTTCCTCGTTAAGTAATATTAATATAATTTAAATTGTAGTGACCACTTAACAAAGCAAGAAAGCAATAGCTAACTTAAAATGCAGAAAAGCAATTAAAAGTAAAGATCGCAAGGAGCGTAGGGGAGAAGAGCGTCCGTCACACACTGAGTGAGTTGAAACAGGTCAACACGGGGCCGTATTTATAGGCCAAAACGACTTGTTTCCGGCGGCCTGGGCGTTCAGGGCTTCGCGGCCCTAGCACGAGGCACGTGGTTTCCTGCTACTTTTCAATTTCCGGAGGTTTTTACGGGAAGTTCGGACTCTACCAAAAAAATATTTCGGAACTTAGTTCTACGATCCTCGCGACGTCCGGACGTTTTATAAGTACAATATTGGCATACTTCCGGTAAATTTCCAAAAATGGCCTCCGGTCCGGCCGGAACTGTTTGCGGTCCGGCAGAATGTTTGCAGTCCGGAAAAACTTGGCTTTTTTTGAGGCCTCAGAAAATTTGAGTATTCACAGCTCCCGCTTGAAATTACACCTTAATGCACTATATTTTTTTATATTGCATGCATTATCTAGTATTTTAAGTACCATATTGGCATACTTCCGGTAAATTTCCAAAATGGCCTCCGGTCCGGCCGGACTGTTTGCGGTCCGGCCAGATTGTTTGCAGTCCGGAAAAACTGGCTTTTGAGCCTCAAAATTTGAGTATTCACAGCTCCCCTTGAAATTACACTTAATGCACTATATTTTTTATATTGCCATGCATTATTAGTATATTCATGCATCGATAAACTGACATTCATGCAAAACATTGATTTGATATATTTATCCATACTTTTTTCCTTTCTCCAAATTTAATTTCATCTCTGTGATTTATAATCAATGTTTATAAAGATGAGATCATTAAATATACTTAGGCTTTAAGAACCAAAATAATAGTAACCCTTATGTACAAGCATTCCATAGTATACTATATCACAACACATTCCAGAAAACTTGTTTCAAGACTAAGTCAGCTATGTCAAACCTTTCTTTGAAAGCTTAACACAATCGAAGGAATTTAAAGTTAGTTATCATAAAATCTTATAAAATGTCATAATACAAAAAAATAAAATAATAGCATGCTTGTTAAAGTTTTATCATATCCTTTCAAAACCATATTTCAATGGAAATTTCAGATAACTCAAAGGATTTGAGAAGTAAATATGATGTTTTCAAACATTTAAACATGAACTTTTCCTTTAAAATTTTGTTCAAATATTATCTAACAGTGGCATGTCAGTTAGATTGGGGTTTAGAGCATTTTAATAAAATGATTCCAACCCTTAACTGCTTTCATAACATAACCATAATATGTTTTCTATTCCCTACCATAACACTATGCGTTCCTCAAATACTGTTTCTGCATCCATTATTGTCTGACTTACTCTTAATCCAACATTCTTTATTTACTCTAAATATTCACCTCAATTTAAAAATCTACAACAAATTGCTTAAGTTCTGACCTTAAAATTACCACTATTAATATATTTATAACACACCAAAATCTCTTTTAGTAAATAATGCAGAGCACAATTGCAAATGCTCTAAACTTTTTACTATAATTGATCGTCCAATTCTTAATTCTTAAGTATTAAGAAAAAATGCAGAGCACAATGGCAAATGCTCTAAAAACAGCGCGCACAAAACTTAAAATCGTGAGCCTAAGTGAGCTCAAGATAAAATGAATTATAGAACTTAAAATCAAAGGCCTTGAGAAAAGACAATTTTATTTTCCTTTATTTGGAAAGACAAAATTTTAGAAGAAAGAAAATGTTATTATTAAAATTGACGCTTATGTCATCACTTAAATAATGGAGTATTTAAGAAATGTTTAAAGTTTGTTAATTAAATTGGGGGTATTTGAATAATTTAATAAAAATGAATGAAATTTTTACATTCCTCCTTTATTTTCTCTCCAAATTGCAAAGATTTAGAACATATGAGTTTGGAAAAAAAAAAAAAAATACTTTCATCCAAACAAAAGGTTAAAAAATGTATAGGTAATTATAGTTCAAATTCTCATTTTTCAACACACAACAAGACATTATTGATATTTAACTTTATAAAAAATCACTTATGATTCGCACATGAGTGATAACTATATTGTGATCCAAATAGCATTATCCATTTATTTATTTATTTTTCTTTTGAGTCTTATTTATTTGCCATACATGTCAAGCTCTTATAAGAAAATAATAAAATTATTTATTTATATAAAAATTCACCAATTGAATTTGCACCAAATCAACTCAGGCCCTCTCTCTAGTATATAATAATGGACTGGAGGATAGACGCCAAAGGCTCAAGTATCTAATGCAACTATACATTTTATATTAAAAATAGAAAGACAGACAGACGACGCGTGAAGATGAAAGACGCCGAACAACGCGGCTTGACAGTCAAAACCTTCAAAATAAATAAATAAAGACTCGTTTATATATATATATACACACTAATTAATTATGTAATTCATAAATTTTGATAAAAATTATTACCTCTTCCACCATAATTTATCCTTACTTGACTTCTAAAAAGTAAAATATGAAAAAAATTATGACACTAAATAAGTATCACATTTTTATTATTTGTTAATTTTTGAGATCTATCCATTTCTTATTTATAAAGTATTATTTTTATGGAATAAATGACTAGAAAAAGTATAATATTATATATGCGTTATCGAATAATAATAATAATAAAGGAATAATTAAATAACTAAATATTATAAATATCTAATCATAAATTAGGATGACTAAATTATTTTTTAAATAAAAATAGTTTAATATTAATATTTCAATTGAAATTGATAAATGGAATAGTTAATTACCTCTAGGATGCATAATTCCATATAAGTTGGTTTACAATATTTTTTATCCACAAATAAAAATCATTTTGAAAATATTAATAGTAATTATAAACTTTTTATCAATTTTACACTTATATATATTAAACAGGTTAATTATTAATCATGTGAGATAAATTATAATTTAATTTATATTAATAAAATTTTTATTGTAATCTAAAAAAGTTAATTGTTTTGTTTTTTGGTTTTAACTATTCAGTGTCCCAACACTCTCGAGTATCTAAATGAACTCTATATTCTTAACTCGAATTTGAAACCCCTAATTAAGAGAGAAAGAATTTCTACCATCCCATCTTATTTGTGTGGATAAATTAATTGTTTTTGTTAATAACTTAGAAAAAATCTTAATATTCATGTATAGAGTGAGTATATACATAAAATTTGAAAAAAGAAAAGGGTACACGAGAGTATCAGTAGTCGAAAATAACCAAAGCGAAACCATGGTTTAAGTCAGATTAGTCTAGTTTAAGAAAAGGGTAATCTCCGTACGATAAAGCTGACGCGTGTTCCCCCTAACAACGCGGTTTCTTCCTCCTCCCCTAGTCTCCACCGCCCTATTTAATCTATTTCTCTATCCTCTCGTTCACTCCCTCTCCTTCTTTTACTTCATTTCTCTCTTCCTTGGGGTTCAAAGCGCTCTCTCTTTCTCTCTCTCTGTCTCTGGGGTTACTCACTGGTCAAGTTCCAAGTCAACTCCCTTTCTCTTTCTCTTGCTCTTGTATACCTTAACAAGATGCTCTGATATCTTATTTATCTGTCTATTCAGCCTTAGTTTCCACTAACTTGTTAATTTGTCAAGTAATTACATAATTAATGGAGAACTTGGCCAGTTTGGAACCATTCCTCTTCAGAACTTTTCAGGACTCATGGATTTCTGAAGCCTATGCTCGCGACACCGAAACTCTAACTAAAGCCCTCCAGAAATCACTCTTTTCCGATAACAACCTTATCTGCTCCGATACACAACACCCTCCTACCACTCCTACCGCTTCTAACGTTTCGGGGTCGGACCCTGAAACGGTTGCTCCTCCCAAGCGTCAGCGAAACGGGATCCCTGCTACTTCTGGCAAAGTCTCGAAACGCAAGTCTCGCGCGTCCAAGCGTTCTCAGACTACGTTTATAACTGCGGATCCGGCGAATTTCAGGCAGATGGTGCAACAGGTTACTGGTGTGAGATTCGGTAACGCCCAGTTGCCACCTGTCCCTGTGCTCAAGCCTGAGCCACAGAGACCTGGTACCCGCCTCCATGCAGCTGCCGGATGCTTGCCCACTCTCGATACATCTGCGTTTTTGCTGGATCATCATCAACAGCCACAAATGGTCGTGAGCGTCACGCCTGGTTCCGGGTCTGGGACTGGGTCAGGGTCTGGGCCTGGGCCGGCCACTGTTTCTTTTCCCCAGCCCGTTGTTGCTGATGGCGGGCCTACTGCTGGGCTAGACTATGACACTTTTTCCAGCTTTCCCACTCTAGAGTCATGGAAAGTTATGTAATTTTTTTAGCTTTTTTTGCCTTTTTTTTTTTTTTTTTTTTTTGGGGGGGGGGTCCGCCTGGTCCGGGTCTGGGACTGGGTCAGGGCCCTGGGCCTGGGCCGGGCCACTGTTTCTTTCCCCCAGCCCTTGTTGGCTGATGGCGGGCCTACTGCTGGATCTAGGACTATGACTTTTTCCAGTTCCACTCTAAGAGTCATGGAAAGTTAATGTATTCTTTTTAGGCTTTTTTTGCCTTTTTTTTTTTTTTTTTTTGGTGGGGTTTTTTTTTTTTTTTTTTTTTTGGTGGGGGGGTACTTATGGATATTTTTTTTTTTCCCTAAATTATATTAGAGAGGCTTATGCAGTGGAGGATTTGTGTTTGGATCTGTTTATATTTTAGTGGGGGCCTTTGTTTGGGTTAGTTCTTTTCTTGTTTATTAAGTAATAACTTAATATAGTTTCTTTGTTGTGTATTTTCATTTCATCGTGTTAATGAATACTAACATTTTTCAAAAAGGAATATAACCTTTTACATGTTGAAGTTATGGGATTTAAAAATTGATAAAAAAAAAAATAAAGTGATAAAGAAGAAATTAAAAAATTGAAAAATTTGTTTGATTTTGAAAAAGTTGACCTGTACATGTCATGTAGAGCAAAATATACGTTTTGGATAGGCGTTGGATTATAGTGATGAATGATAGTAAGAGAATTTATTGTGATGATTTTGATGGGTTGAAGAAAGTGGTGAATACGCTACACCTGGCTGTACGAATTAAGACGAAGAGTTTCTCTTCCCAATCTCACAGTCACACAATGGAGACGGACAGTACTGTGTTGTTGGGGTTGGTTTCGTTTACTATTCTTCTCTCTCTCTCTCTCTCTCTCTCTCTCTCATTATTGCGTCAGCATTACATGTATACTGACTTCATTGCTTCCCCCCTTCACTGCACTTTCCTATTACTTTTTGTATTTCATTTTCTCACGCCTTACTGTCATATCCCGTCCTATTTACTTATTATTCTAAAATATTTACAAAATTTTTAAATTTAAATATGTAAATAATTATTTTTTTTATAATAAATTCTATAATTACGTTTTGAATGAAAGATTTTTAATATCTTAATGAATTATTAAGAGTAAAAAATAACAAAATAATTTTTATTGACTAAATTCTTTATATGCGTGTTTTGTCAAATCATAAAAATATAATGAGACAGAGAATATTTCTTAATACAAATTAACTTCAAATTTACAATGTATCAACTCTATAATCATATTAATTTTCCAAGTTAAAATGAATATGTTATTCATAATAAATATTATAATATAAAAATTTATTTATAATAAATTAAGATTTTAATTAAAATTTTTTTAATTATGTCTCATGCAAAATGCTATGTAAATTCTCTCTTATCTATTGGAGGTAGAAAGAATTGAAATAATATCATAAATTATATAACAAGAAGAATTAAAATAATATCGTAAATTATACAACAAGTGATAATTCTTCCAATTTAATAAAACTTAGTGGTATGACAAAAAGGACTATATTATGTTTCTTAGGAAAAGCTTTATTTAGATTGTTATCATATTTTATATATTACTTATTCAAACTCTAATACTTCGCTTCGTGTACATGAATTGAAAACGTGGAATTTAATTGTAAATTAATTTTAGTAGAATTCATTTGTAAATGAATTTAATTGAATTCCATATAATTATGTATGGAACAAATTTAATTGAAAATTCATTTGCTTTTGTTTCATAAAATATCATTAAAATAGTAATTTTATAAAAATAAATAATAAATACCAATTATATTTATGTTATGCTACGTAATTTTTTATATTTTTATTAAAATAAATAATATTTTTTTAAAATATATTTTTATTAAAATAAATATATAAAATAACAATAATATTAATGAAATTATTGCATTTAATTTGGTGATAAATGGACATTTAACTTGAATCTTTCTCTTCTTGATAGTAAATGACATGCTAAAAAAATATTAAAATAAAAGATAAAAAATAATAAGAAAACTATTTTTTGAAAAGATAATTTTTTTAAAAAATAAATTTTTAAAAATAAATTTGGTCAAATTTGATAAAATAAATAAGTTATATAAGTAAAATAATTGAAAAATTAACTTTGTAGAAGGAAAAATGTAGTTTTGTCATAAAAGTTGGGTTGCTTATGTCACGACCCAAAACTATGGGTTGCACCGGTACTAGGGCCTAGCTAAGCTTAAGGCCCCGAGGCCCATAGTAAGCCTAACTCAAATGTATGTTTTGGTTCATTTTGTGATAATATTTATTTGTTCTTTTGTTATTTTTATTTCTGTTTCATCTTCACTTTTGCCAGCAATCTCATTCAAGGTAGAGAGAAAATAACAAGAACATTGAAACTTTTCATTAGAAATAAAAGAGCCACGATTGACATCTACATTTAGTTCAATAAAAAGGGCACCTAACGCAGAGAGGGATGACAAAGAAGACTCAGAAGACTCTGAACTAGACTCCGAGCTAGACTCCAACTCAGATTCTGTTTTTGACTCAAACTTAGGTTCAGGCAAGAGAAAGGTGGATTGCTCTACGTGTAACTCCAAGTACCAGTTCTGAAGAGACGCTTCGATAGGTTGTATGAGGCTTGCGGGGTCTGCTTCCACTTTATTGCTAATCATTCACACGTCAAAGAGAGAGGCTTTCATGTTGTCCTCCCAGTCTATTTGAGCTTGAAAAGAGGTTCACGGTCTTCTATTAACAGCTTGACATAAAAAAGAATTTTAAAACCAGGTATTAGTTTCATGGTCACAAGGCAATACCAAGGTTCTTGGAAGAAGTAGTAAGGTTCAGATTCTCCCTCTTTAACAAAATAACCTTTGAGGGTTTTGAAGCATGAGTGCATTGGAATGTCCCTTATTTCACCTCTTGTTCTCGCCACTTGTTTGGCGTCTTCTAGTCCAAGACTGAAGGGAGGTTCAGCAATTGGAAACTCGGAGAAGGAGGCCATGCCCTATTGGTTTCGGTCAAGTCCTATTCCTGGAAAATAACATATGGCCCACATCATGTTAACTACCAAGGGATTACTGTAGGGGTCAAAATCCATTGGAAAGATTTTGTTACCTGGTTCTTCCTGGATGAACTGGACTGAGTTGAAGGAGAAGCCAGTCAGAGGATACACCACTAGTTCAGGTTAAATCTCTAGTAGTGGCGCTAGGGCAGGATTTTAGATTCCTCTGTCAGGTCTCCTTTGATTGTCACGACTATATCATTGTAGGGGAATTTTAGTTTTTGGTGAAGCGAGGAGGTTATTGTTTTAGTCGAGTGAATCCAGGGCCTTCTAAGGAGGAGGTTGAAACAAGTAGGGACATCCACCACTTGGAATGGTATAGTCACAAATGCGGGCCCGATTATGACTTTTAAATCAGCCACGCCCAAAACTTCTCTTCTTATGTTGTCATATGCCCTCACTATGTGATCAGACGGTACAAAATCTTCAGCTGTTAACCCCAAAGAGCTAGCAACTTTCAAGGGGTAGACGTTTAAAGTCGACCCATTATCCACAAAGACCATAGGTACTGTCTTACCCTTGGCTTGTACTATAATATAAAGGGTGCGATTGTGCATTGCACCCCTCTTTGGTATCTCATGATCAACAAAGTGGATGGCCATAGCAAGGGGGTTCCTTGTGATGGAAGTTACTAATGTCTCAGGAGTTATCACTACAAAAAAAATGCCATTTTGCGACCGACAAATCGGTCGCAAAATGGCAAAAATCGGTCGCTAATTTAATCGTCGCGTTAATTTTCATTTAGCGACCGATCCTGTGACCGAAGCATGTCGGTCGCAAAATAACTGGTTGCAAAATAAAGTTTGGCGACCGATGAGGAACAATCGGTCACGAATTGGAGACCGATAAAATCGGTCGCGAAAATTGAATAATCGGTCGCAATTTTTGGTCTGTTTAATTGGAAATTTCAGTCGCAAATTTGGTCGCAGAAAAATCGTCGCAAATTGTTAATTCAAAATTTGTATTTTTTGGGTAAAATCAAAAAATCGGTCCCCCGCGAAATTGCAAAAAAAGATAAAAAAAATTAATATTATTTTGACCAAAATTTTTTGCACCTGTTGAAAAATGACAAATAAATGTATATAATTACACCATTACGGAGCAATTTCAAAGAACAATATAAAATGTAATTTTTATTGTTCTGAACAAATTAAAATATGAAAATACAATGAAAACTAAAAAAGGTCCAAAATCAAATCATATATGCTGCTGCTTATCATCTGCAGGATTTGATGTCGGATCTCCCACTGTCGGATCGCCGGGAGGAGTACCTGCTGGATGTGGAATTGTAGCGCCAGGGAGGGTGACCAAGGGTATCGTCTGCAGCATCAGGATCAGGAGCCGATAGTGGCCTGCTGCTGAGACGTGCAAAACAATGTCGGTCTTAGCAGGCGCAGGATCAAGAGGAAGAAGTACCAGCACGGTGCCTACACCGACAAGCCGCATCACATGTGCTCTAAGCCTCTGCAAATCTGTCTCTGCTGATCAGCAGCTGAGTCCATATAATCATCATAACCAGTGGCGAGTCCAGTGGTGCTCGCGGCTGTCGTGCGCGCTGGCCTTGTACAAGCGTGAGCTGCTGAGCCAGTGTAAAACGTGAGCCTGAGACCCGATGAGCCCGTATAACCTTCCTCTTCTTCTTCCAGCCCCCTAAGACAGCCTTGAGATAAAGCGGCAAGCTACCCGTCCGTCAATTCTTAGACTCAAGCTTCGGATTTCCATTGGTCTAGAGAGTTAACATTTCGCTCGAGCTGTAAGAATAATCTCCTGAACAAAAAATTAATTACTCAATGCAATTGCAAGTTTGTATTATATTCAACTTTGTACATCTTCGCAAATGATAAGAGGGTAAATGTAAATATTATTCATTGTTTATTTACATTGACGTCAGCGCACGTCTGTCGAAAAGGTATTACGATCGTGGTCTTGTGTGAGTTATGTATAACACCTCCATCGGTGTGGGCTCACGACCTAATTCTTTACCTTTAAATAAATTTTTTA